CATATGAGAGGCTCTGGGTTCAGTTTCCAGTAGTGAAAAACTGCCCGCCTCCTGTCCACAAAATATCTTATATAGGGCTGGGGTTGTACCTCAGTGGGTACAGCGCCTGCCTAGCATATGTGAGGCCCTGTGTTTGATTATCAGTGCCACATAAAAATAAGTAAATAGGGGCTGGGGTTGTGGCTCAGGGAAAGAATGCTTCGCATAGTAGTGCAAGGTGCTGGGTTTGATCCTTAGCATCACATAAAAATAAATAAGATAAAGGAATTACATCCAACTAAAAAATATATATTTATTAAAATAAATAAATAAGGGTATTGTGGAGCTAGGGTTATGGCTCATTGGTAGAGCACCAGACTAGCATGCATGAGGCCCTGGGTTCAATCCTCAGCAGTACATAAAAATAAAATAAACATATTGTGTCCATCTACAACTAAAAATATTATATATATTAAAAAATACCATACATATTTTAGAACAGTATCTGATGCATAGTAAATGCCTGCTCTAAACATGAACTAAAAGTGTACACTGAAATAGTTACTCAGATATCAAAATTTGGCAAGGCATGGCAGTGCAGGCCTGTAATCCCAGCGATATGGGAGTCTGAGGCGGGACAACTGCAAGATTCAAGCAACTTGGTGAGATCTATCTCAAAATAAAAAATAAAAAGTGTTGGGGATGTGCTCAGGGGGAAAAAAAATCAAAACAGTAACAGGGGAAGGAGGATATAAAGCTTAAAGTTTAAGGATATGTTTCAGTATGTCACATAAAGGGAATTAATAATTAGTAAATTCCACTGTGCTGTAATGCTACACATTTCAAGAAGAAACACGGTTAATGTACTACCAAGAGTCATTTAACTGTTAAGATGTCATCAGTTACAGAAGCATCCCAAATCCAGAGACACAATCTGGATAAAACTTCTACCTTCATAACAATGAAATGAAATAACACATGTATATCTTAACTAAAACAACTTTAAAGATATCGAACATACTGTGCTAGAACAAACTATTTCCAGATGACAAGGACCTCAAACTGCTACATACCCAAAGAGTGAAATCAGGACAGAGAGACCTGTTTAAGGCAAAACCAAAAATAAAAACAACAAAAACAAAAATCCCACTTGGCTGCATGTGGTCTTCTCTCCCTTCTCCATCCAACACCATGAAAACCTGCTTCTTCAGTGGACGAGACCATTCTCTTCCTTCCACATTAGAAATAAAAGATTTAAAATATACCTGTTCTAACAATAAATAGGACCTCATCAACAATAAAGGAAAATGTAAGCAATAAATACAAAATCTTTTCTTGAATTGTTAAGGAATGAAGAAGACTGAAATAAGTGGATTCTTTTTTTACCCCTCCAGTCCTGAGAATTGAACCCAAAGCTTGCAACAGATACTCCACCATTAAGCACTAGCCTGACAGTGCATTTCTAAGTACAGTATTTTTTGTTTTGTTTTGCTTTTCCCGTACAGGGGATGGAACCCAGGACACCTTGCACGTGCTAGGTAAGCGACCATTTTATTCTTTGTTTTAACAGGGTCTTCCTCCTGAGTTGCTGGGATTAAAGGTGCACACCACACCTGAAAGAATGGACAATAATACAAACATCAATTTAACAATCCAAAAGATTATACTATAATTCATAGGATCAAAACCTGCACGTATAATGAGTCATTTTTATATGTGTATATTTTATCTTACAGAGAAAGAAAATAAATATATGTGATTAGATAGTAGGCCAATACATGACTTTTTTCTTTATGTGTTCTAAATTCACTTCAATGCACATGTACTATTTATTATTAGGGGAAAATCAGTGTTCCAGGTTTCCAATTCTGTAATTGTTATCCCATGTTCAGAGACATGCATCCATCTCAACAGATTTTACTGTTCTGGAAGTTTCTTCTTCAATACATATAGACGAACTGTCCAAATCTCACTATCTGAAGAACCAAATATCCAATTTTCAGGCTTTTCAATCCCAATATGTTGTTTCTAGATTTCTTTCTCAATCTTCATTAATACCTCCAAAGGATGAAAGTAATAATAATACTTAATACAGCTTCATACACACTAGGTATGTTCAAGCACTTTCATATATTAGCTTTAGCAAAACCAACACTATCAAATAAAATTGAAGTCACTAGTGTAATCCTTTAGCTCTAAATATTCAGGAGAGGAAGACTGAATAAATAAATGGTCGAAATATCTAACAATACATTGTTCAATGTATTTATTATAGGTAACAACCTACTCAAATTTTTTAAAAAATTAATAATAGTGGTATTAGAAATCCTGGTCCAAGGACTAGGGATATAGCTTAGTAGTAGATCGCTTGCCTAGCACGTGCAAGGTCCTGGGTTCCATCCCCAGTACAGGAAAAGCAAAACAAAACAAAACAAATACTGTACTTAGAAATGCACTGTCAGGCTAGTGGCAAAGCACCTGCCTGGCATGTGTGAGCCCCTAGTTTGATCTCCAGCACCATGAAAAGAAAAAAGAAATCTAACTATAAAGTCATAAAAAGGTGTAGGATAAGCCAGGTATGGTCCAACTACTTGAGAGGCTGAGACAGAAGGATCATAAGTTTGAGACCAGCCTCTGCAACTTTAATTTTTTTTAAGATTTTTTTTAGTATTTATTTTTAGGTGTAGATGGACACAACACAATGCCTTTATTTTTATGTGGTGCTGAGGATCGAACCCGGGTTCAACCGTGCTAGGCAAGCGCTCTACCGCTGAGCCACAATCTCAGCCCAAGCAAGACGTTCTTAAAAGAAAAAAAAGGGCAAGAGATTAAATTCACAGAACCATATAACTCAACAGAACATACCAAGTCACTCCAAACCTACCATTTAAGCAACTAACACTTGTTTTGCATTTTCACTCACTAAATCCAAATATACACCATTTCAACACAAACCAATTGCAACTATAACAAAAAATTTAAGACAATTACCTACACTATTTTAACATGAAAGTCCCATCAATTTAAGAAACAAAGAATATTACTTTTTTTAACCAAACTGAAACTTCTCTGGCCGGGTTGTAGATATATCTCACTAGAGTGTTTGTTTGCCTACCATGCATGAGTATTTGATCTCTAGCACTCACCTCACAAAAGTCTCTCCAACCTGTTTTAAGTGAAATTCTAACTTTAGATTTAGTATAAATGAACTATTTCTATTCTGATCAACTTTTTTTATTATTATTTTAAAAATTATAGGTCAAAGAACACATCTAACATATTGAGACTTATCAGTTGACCTTTAAAGAATTACAATTATATGGATAATATCTCTTACCTTTGTTAAGAGGTAAGAGAGTTAAAAAAAAAAAAACAACCTCATTTCAGATCACTTTATTTTCACCTAACTAGTACGAATATCCAAATCTTATCTAATACTATGTGTCTCACTTGGGTTTCATTGGCTTGGATAATACCAAATATTCTCTTGTTCTTGAACTTACTCTATACCACACTGGCTAGAGACTCTGACCTAAATAATTGATCTGTCCTTGCCTTTCAAATGTTTAGGACAATGGCTTTTTACCTTACTATTTTGTAGTCAATCACTATATGCTGTTCAATGGCTTAAGAGATGACAATAAGAAAACAGGGAAGGCAAAGAGACTAGTAGCACTATTTTTCTTCATTATTTAAAACTACTTCCTTGACTCAATCTAAGATTCTTGGTTACCTAAAGGAAAAGTGTCTTGTAAAGTATTTCAGGTGTGGTTTCACAGAGAAATCACTAATCTTCAGCTTCATGATGAGGTTGCCTATCCTAGCTAGCCAAAAATAGAACAAGTCATTGGGCTGCAATTACCGCTTTATAAAGTTTATTGAATCCATTACCCACTTTCACTCTTAAGTATCTGTCCTGGTTTTTCCTGACCATAAAAAAAAAATCCGCTTTTAGCTCATTCTCACAAGCTCTAACCAATAGTATTTAAGTTTGTATTTATCAAAACTTTGATTTCACTGTTACTTCTGCATTCACAAACATTTGTAATATCCAATACCTCTGGTAAAATTAAATATTAAATCAAGTGTTGAAAAAAATTAACTACTAAACTTTTAACAATTACCAAACACCTTATCCCCATGACTCTCCATATGCTACCTTTCTTTTAAAGTCTCAGACAGTTAAAAAATTCTTATCATGGTTTTTAGCATATTTAGACTGATTTGAATTGGAATGGTAAACTGTTTTCCAAAAATATTATAGCACCAGGACAATATGCACCCAGAACTTGTGTTCTTATCCTCCAATCTAGTAATTCCGATTCCAAAAGCCTAAGGGGGTGGGGAGACTTTAATGCAAAGATTTAACTCATTATTTCTATCCTTACAGTATTATTCATAGCAAAAACTAGAACCTCTTCTATGTTCCATAATGGAATGATGATTAAATAAATTATGGAATATCATACAACATAATATTACACAATCATTAAAAATGTTAAAGAAAGTTGGGTATGTGGCAAACACCTGTAATCCCAGCAACTTAGAAGGCTGAGGCAAAAGGATCACAAGTTCCTGGCAGCCTTAGCAACTTAGTGAGGCTCTAAGCAATTTAGTGAGAATCTGTCTCAAGAAAAAAGTTTAAAAATGACAAAAAGCCTAGTGTGATGGCTCAGCCTATAGTCCCAGTATTTGGGAGGTAGAAGTATCACTTGAATCCAGGAGTCTGAGATCAGCCTGGGTAACACAGCAAGACCTCCATCTCAAAACAAACAAAAAAAGAATAAGAAACTACAGTGCTCTCATTATTACATTTAGTGAAAGAAAGTTACAGAATGTTACAAAAGATAACTCTGTATCTATATTTCATAAAAGTGAAATTATATCAAATGCTGCTAATCTCTGGGGAGTAGGATTAAGGGTAATTTGTGGTTATTTTTCAAGATTTTATAAGGAGTGTGCTTTTTGACTACATTAGTTCTTTTAAAACTATTTGCTTAAGAAACTATAATTCTTTTTTTTTTTTAAATATGAATTTTATGTTCTGGAGCTTCACCATAGGTTTTTTTTTTTTTTTTTTTTTTTAAGAGAGAGAGAGAGAACCTTTAATATTTATTTTTT